CTAGTGAGCCATAAAGTGTGTGTTTTGCACTCGTCGAGAGAGAAGTTGTCGAAACTGTGAATCGCTGTGATTTATAGTGTGTATTATAAAAGTTGTTAAGTCTAAAGTGACGAGAAACGTACTGATTGTGAAATTACTGTGTACTAAAAGTTTGTTTCGAGAAAGAATAAACTGGTTTAATCAAGAAAGGAGTTGTATCGTTGAAGTTCCTCGGAAAGAACTTATACCGGAAATTAACAAACAAGCAGATATGTAACAAATTGGTGTCAGAGAGTGGGACAGAAAAAAAAAGATGGAAACGAGAAGTGGCAAATCAAACTACAGCTAAGCAGATTTGATGGCAGCAATACAAGAACAGCAAAAAAAACAAGAAGAAAGACTACAGCGTTACATTGTTGTTTCATTATATCTTATATTTATGAATCCCATACCAGGTGAAGGATCAGACTTGTTCTTTCATTATATCTTACATTTATGAATACCACACTATGTGAAGTTGAAAGACCAGACTTATTCTTTCATTATGTCTTACATTTTTGAATCCCATACTATGTGAAGTTGAAAGACCACACTTGTTCTTCAATATATCTTACATTTATGAATACCATACTAGGTAAAGTTCAAAAGACCAGACTTGTTCTTGCATTATATCTTACATGTATGAATACCATACCAGGTGAAGTTGAAAGACCAGACTTGTTCTTGCATTATATCTTACATTTATGAATACCACACTATGTGAAGTTGAAAGACCAGACTTGTTCTTGCATTATATCTTACATTTATGAATCCCATACTATGTGAAGTTGAAAGACCAGACTTATTCTGTCATTATGTCTTACATTTATGAATACCATTCCAGGTGATGTTGAAAGACCAGACTTGTTCTTTCATTATATTATCTTGTATTTATACTATTCTGGACCTATTAGACCTACAGTTTCCTAAAACAGAAGAAAAGTTGAGAAGAAACTGCCAATTCCATTTGCCAAAAATGGGATGTTTTAGAAATGATCACTCAGAGAACTTTTTGCTTGCATCCTTAGAAATATTGAGACTCTCAAAAAGATAAAAAACTTATCACCTAAAGTATGCTTGAGCCACACTCACCCCCACCCACTTTCCAATCTTTCTTTGGAATTTGCTGATTGGTCTATATAGAAAATCAAACTAAATGTGTATTGGAGGAAGTTTTGTTTGGGTGATGTTCTTTCTTGTGGATCATTACTTTGGAGTAAGACATTTATGATTAAAAATGCAGCAGGAAATCTCTATCTAAAAAAGCTTTGAGTATTTACATCAGTTCACCCATCAATAACG